AGATAGATAGATATAAAAAATATAGATAGAATAAAAGTTGAAGGCCGTTTAAGTAATCATGAGCACGTAATAGCAACGTCGCAAAAAGAGATTATTTTTTATTACTTAAAAATACATCCATATTCATAAACAAAGCAGCTCCTTGTAGTTAGATTTTCCTATAAAATAATAAATGTTGACCTGTAGCGCAAGAGAGTAGAAAGAGAAAGGAGACAACAGAGCGTGAGAGAGAAGCGGGTCCACGAAAAAGGTGGCAACCCTCTTTTTATTCGGGTCATAAAACAAATGGACCGGTTCAGCTAGCGGGTCAGCCACGTGCCCCAATAAAACGGGAGAAATTCAAAAATAGCCAGATTTACAAGTGGTCGTTCAAAAATAGCCCAGTTTTAAAAGTAATCGAAATCTAGTCACTTTTCATGTAAAGATAAATCTGAGCAAAAACACTGTTTAAAACCCGGAAAATACGCCAGTATATTATGCTGGAGTTCCAGCATAAGTATACTTGAACTCCAGCATATTATACTGGAGTTCCAGGATAAGTATGCTGGAACTCCAGCATAATATGATGGAGTTCCAGCATAAGTACACTAGAACTCCAGCATAATATACTGGAGTTCCAGTAAAGTATAGCGGTCCAGTATAATATGCTGGAAGTTCATACACAAGTGCTCGAATCTCTAGTATATTATGCTGGAACTTTCCGTGTGTTGGAGTTCCAGCATAATATGCTGGAAGTTCATACATAGGTGCACCGAACTCCAGTATATTATGCTGGACCGGTCTCTATTGCAGCAAAATAGTGGCTATTTTTCATTGACTTGGTAAACGCTGGCTATTTTTGAATGACCAGTCCGAAAACTGGCTAGACCGTTGTCACAACCCAAACCCCGCACTGGTCGTGATGGCGCCTCTCGTGAAGACGAGGCCAGCCAACTAACCTAACTCGTCTTTTGAAAAATAATTTAAACATGAATAAACAACTAAAATATGACTTAATAATGTTAATCAGCGGAAATACAACCCAACACAGCCCTAATCGGGGTGTCACAAGTCACGAGCATCTATCAAAATGTAAATCCACTACAAGGCCTAAAATATACAAAACCGAAATAATGAACAAAAGAGAGAAACATGGTGCTGCGAACGCTGGCAGTCACCTCCTTAACTCATGTAACTCTGCCTCTGATCGGCCAAAACCCGCTACCGGGTGATTAGATACCTGCATCTGCACACGCGGTGCAGGGAGTAAAGTGAGTACTCCAACTCAGTGAGTAATAAAGGTAAATAACAACTGAGCAGTAAGAAATCACGTAAAGCAAACCATCATGCTTTATAGAAGCAGGGTTCAATCATTTTGAGAAAACAGTGAAACTGTGAAATCTTTGGAAAATATCTTTGCTCAGTTTAAATCTCTTTTGAAAATGATCTTTTCAACAGTTACGAAATAATTTCAAAACAGTTAGTGCTGATAAGCACAGAAAAATCCGCCCCTCGGGCACAAATACCGCAGTATAACAGGTAAAAAGGCAAGTAAATATGCAAGATGAGCACATAAAAGTTCGCCCCTCGGGCAATATCTCAAAACAGTACCAGCCCTTCGGGCTCACTCTCAGAAACACTCTCAGCCCCTCGGGCTCTCTCTCTCAGATCACTCTCAAGACAGTATCATATAGTAACCGCTGCGGCGTGCAGCCCGATCCACATATCTCGCTATGGCGTGCAGCCCGATCCATATGGGTACCCGCGCTCACTGTGGGTGTGCAGACTACGGAGGGGCCCCTTACGGCCCAAGCGCAATATCAAGCCACCTCGTGGCATATAACATAAGGCCTGAAAGCCTCCTCACATAACACTCGAGGCCTGAAAGCCTCCTCACATAGCACTCGAGGCCTGAAAGCCTCCTCACATAGCACTCGAGGCCTGAAAGCCTCCTCACATAGCACTCGAGGCCTGAAAGCCTCCTCACATCACGCTCAAGGCTTGAAAGCCTCACTCAGTCCAGAAACATCATAAGCCCCTCGAGCATCAATAAAATAGTAGTGCTCAGCCCAAAAAACAGTGGAAATATCATTTAAGTCTCAAAGTTCAGTTAAAGCGGCTGAGTTTGTAAAACAGTATAATCAACAGGACTGAATTCAAGTAGTATATCAAAATAATGAGGAAACAGTGGTAAAAATCCCCGAAGGGTTCAGATAATTGGCACGAGCCCAAATATGGCAATCAGCCCAAATCATGATAATAACAAATAAGTTTCAGTCAAATACGCGGTAAAATCAACAATCGGGATGGACCAAGTCACAATCCCCAACGGTGCTCTACCCTACGCTCGCTATCCAGCGTGCAAGTCACCTCAATATAGCACTATGATATGCAAATCCGGGGTTTCAAACCCTCAGGATATCATTTACAATTATTACTCACCTTAAGCCGGCCAAAATCCTAGCTCGCTATGCCCTTGCCTCGCGAATCGACCTCCTCGTGCGTCGAATCTGATCAAAACCACAACGAATACGTTACAATAGGCTAAGGGAACATAACCCAATCGAAAAACATCGAAAATCACGAAATTTGCAAAACCCGAGCCCTGGGCCCACTTCTCAAAAATAAGAAAATTTAACATCATCGGATTCCTTATCTCGCCACGAGTCTATACATACCAAGAACTCCCAAATCCGAGTTCAAATGACCCATCAAAACCCACTTTAAAATACCAAAAATCAAGCCCCAACTTTTCTCCCTTTTTGATGAATTTTCATAAATTTCTAGGTTAATTCTTCCATTAAATCATGTATTTAGGCCATAGAACTCACCTCCAATCAATCCTAGTCGAAATCCCCTTCAATTCTCGTCCAAAAGCTCTCAAGGTTGCTCCAAAAATGGTGGAAAAATACCTTAGCTCGCGGATGAAATATTAATTTTTAAACCCTTCTGCCTAGACCTTATTTTCGCTTCTGCGATCCAGTTACCGCATTTGCGGTTTCCGCTTCTGCGGAATTATTCCGCTCCTGCGGTGCTTCACTTAACCGCCTGGACCGCTTCTGCGGTCTATATCCGCTTCTGCGGACGCCGCATATGCGGACCACCATCCGCTTCTGCGGAAGTCCACCAATGGCCCAAAATCCGCACCTGCTCTCCTATCTTCGCATCTGCGGAACCACATTTGCTGCCCCCTTTTCCGCAGATGCGGAAATACCAGATACCAGCAACTATCAGCAGTGCTACAAGTCCAAATTCATCCCGATGACCATCCGAAATCACCCCGAGGCCCCCGGGACCTCAACCAAAAGTGCCAATCCATCGTAAAACACCATTCAAACTTGCTCCAATCATCAAAACACCACAAACAACACCAAAACCATCAAATTAGATCGGATTCAAGCCTAAGTTCTTCTAAAACTTTCGAAATACGCATTCGATCAAAAACCCGACCAAAACACCTCTGAATGACCTGAAATTTTGCGCACACATCCCAAATCACCTAACGAAGCTACAAGAACTCTCGGAATCCCATTTCGACCCTCGGATCAAAATCTCACCTACCAACCGGAATTCGCCAAAATACTAACTTCGTCAATTCAAGCCTAATTCTACACCGGACCTCCAAAATCACTTCCGATCACACTCCTAAGTCACAAATCATCTAACGAACCTAACCAAATCATAAAAACTCCGATCCGAGCTCATATACAAATAAGTCAACTCTCGGTCAAACCTTCCAAATTCAAAACTTTCAACTGAAACTGTTCTTTCAAATTCATCCCAAATTTTCCTGAAAACCAAAACCAACGATCTACATTCGTCATAATACATAACACGGGGCAAGTCATGCCTGAGAACTGGCGATCAAAGTGCAAAAGCTCAAAACGACCGGTCGGGTCGTTACAACCGTGCTATTTTTACCAATAAAACCTGCTAACATATTAAAAGTTGGGCCAAAAATTCTGCCGTTAAATCAAGGGAATATTTGGCAAATACTCAGGTGGCTGAAAAAAATTATTCGCTCCTACCCACAAATGTTTTAAATACCCATAAAGTCAAGCTAAAGCAAGTTAAGCCAAATCAAGTCAAGTCAAATTAAGCTAAGTCAGGTGGGTAGGTCGGATAATTAGTTTTAACTGAGTAGATATATATTGTAACTAATTTTCAAATGGACAAAAAAAGGTAATTATTTTAAGTTCAATAGGTATTTTACATAAATTGCTCTTAAATCAAGGTATAACTTTAGCAACAGAAATAACGATAAGGATATTTATAGACCAAAAGTTATGGTATGGTAAAGTAAAATTACTATGTGTAGTCAATATCATGACTCAATTTTCGGGAAAAAAAAATCATGATTTACTCAAATGATTAAACTCTGCCGTGACTACTAACTCCATTACCTAAAAGAAAGATCCTGGTTCTTTTAGATTAAGATGAGGAATTTATAACATTGACACGAAAGAAAATTTGGTAATCTTGTAACTTGTGAGAAAGATATTGTTAGGGAACTATATTAGTCCCTAGCAGCCCCGTCGGCGACCTCTGTCCGGCAGCTCCCCCTTGTTGTCCCTCCTTTTTCGACTCTGTCCAGGTCCACCCCCGCGACAGGTTGACATCCCCCTTCCCTATTGGTTTCGTGGTGGTTGTGAATGATTTTTCAGGGAACTAGTTGCGGCTGCCCAGGCAAGCGCGAGGCGTACGGGCGAGTAGAGCGGAGCATCACCGGCAAGTGTGTGCAAAGGTTGGCAGGAGTTGGAAGGACGCACGACAAATTTCTGTGACCTCGGGTGCATCAAGTCATATTTCCAGGTTCTTTCCACCGGGAGTTGGTACCTCTCGCTTTCTTGTCTCTTTCTTTATGTTAGTTAAATTGTGGCTATTAAGTTAGCATCACTTTAAGCATATTATTAGAGTACTTGTGGTTGCTGCCTGTTATTTTCTAGTTTGGGTCTGTGTTAGTGTTTTTCGGAGTTTGTCTTAGGTATAGTGGCTGTGGTCTGGGATGGTAGAGTAAGGTCATGTCCTCAAGGGGTGCCGGGGGTGAGAAGGGGGTCAGTGGATGGTACGGGAAGAAGGAGAGTAAGGGGAAAGAGGGAGCTTGTAGATTGAGGATCGGGTCGTGGAACATAGGCATGCTGACGGGTAAGTCTATTGAGTTGGCGAAGATTCAGAAGAGGAAGGTTAATATAGCTTGTGTCCAGGAGACTAGGTGGGCAGGGTCGAAGGCGAGGAATGCGGGCGGGTATAAGTTGTGGTACTCTGGAGTCGTGAGGGGTAAGAATGGAGTGGGTATCTTGATGGATAGGGATCTTGGAGAGTCTGTGGTTGAGGTTAGGCGAGTGAATGATAGGCTAATTTTTATTAAGTTAGTGATTGGTGAGTGCACCCTCAATGTCGTTAGCACATACGCGCCGCAAGCGAGCTTGGATGAGGAGGTTAAGAGGCTCTTTTGGAGGGTTTGGACGAGATTTTGCGTAGTATTCCACCTACTGAAATGTTATTTATTGGAGGGGATTTTAATGGCCATATTAGGTCGGCTGCTGGTAGTTATGGCGAGGTGTATGGTGGCTTTGTCCTTGGGGATAGGAACGGAGGAGGTACTTCGCTGTTAGACTTCGCTAAGGCTTTCGAGCCGGTGATTGCGAACTCGACTTTTCCGAAGAGGGAGGAGCATCTGGTTACTTTCCACAGTTCGGTGGTGAAAACTCAGATTGATTACTTTCTCCTCAGAAGGTGTGATAGAGAGTTGTGCAAGGATTGCATGGTTATCCCGGGAGAGACCCTCGCGACTCAGCATAGGCTCTTAGTGATGGACATCGGCATTATGATGAAGAGGAAGAAAAGGTATGCTCGTGGCCGATCGAGGATTAGATGGGGAGCTTTAACCAAGGATAAAGCCCAAGAGTTGGACGGGAGGTTATCCGTTGTGGGAGCTTGGAGGAGTAGTGGAGACGCGAGCACTATGTGCTCAACGACAGCGAACTACGTCAGGGAGGCGGCGAGAGAGGTGCTAGGGATATCGAAGGGTTTTTCTGGCAGGCACCAAGGCGACTGGTGGTGGAATGACGTAGTCCAAGGTGAAGTGGAGGCGAAGAAGGTAGCGTACGCGAAGTTGGCAGGGAGCACAAGCGAGGAGGGGAGGAGAGAGAATAGAGAGAGGTACAAGGTGGCGAGGAAGGAGGCAAAGCTGGCGGTCATGGAGGCTAAGAATGCAGCGTTTGGTCGTCTATATGAGGAATTGGGGAGAAAGGCAGGGACAGGAAGTTGTTTCGGCTGGCTAAAGCGAGGGAGAGGAAGGCCCGGGATCTGGACCAAGTAAGGTGCATCAAAGACGTGGATGGTAGAGTATTGACGGGAGAGTCCCAGATTAAGCAGAGATGGCAGACGTACTCTATAGTCTTCTAAATGAGGAGGGGGACCGGGATATCGCGCTAGGGGATTTGAGGCATTCGTAGAGTCTCCGATATTTTAGGTATTGCAGGCACATTAAGGTAGAGGAGGTCGTGGGGGCTTTGCGTAAGATGAGTAGGGGTAGAGCGACCGGGCCAGACGAAATTCTGGTTGAGTTTTGGAAGTGTGTGGGTAGAGCAGGATTGGAGTGGTTGGCTGGGTTGTTCAATGTAATTTTTAGGACGAAGAAGATGCCAGAGGAGTGGAGGTCGAGTAGAGTGGTACCGTTGTACAAGAACAAAGGTGATATCCAGTGTTGTAACAATTATAGGGGTATCAAGTTACTTAGCCATACCATGAAAGTCTGGGAGAGGGTGATGGAGGTGAGGGTGAGGAAAATGACGTCTATATCCGACAATCAGTTTGGGTTCATGCCGGGTCGCTCCACTACGGAAGCTATCCACCTTATTAGGAGGTTGGTGGAACAGTACAGGGATAAGAAGAAGGATCTACACATGGTGTTTATTAACTTGGAGAAAGCGTATGACAAGGTCCCTAGGGAGGTGCTCTGGAGATGTCTTGAGGCAAAGGGCGTGCCAGTAGCCTACATAAGAGCGATCAAGGACATGTATGATGGAGCTAAGACTAAAGTTAGGACTGTGGGAGGCGACTCAGATCATTTCCCGGTTGTTATGGGATTACACCAAGGCTCTGCGCTTAGCCCGTTCTTATTTTCCTTGGTGATGGATGCATTGACACACCATATTCAAGGGGATGTGCCATGGTGTATGTTATTTGCTGATGACAGAGTTCTAATTGATGAGACGGGGGTCGGTGTTAACGAGAGGTTGGAGGTTTAGAGATAGACCCTCGAGTCTAAGGGTTTCAAATTGAGCAGGTCTATGACAGAGTACCTGGAGTGCAAGTTTAGCGCTGAGTCGAGGGAAGTAGGCAGGGACGTGAGGCTTGGATCAGAGGTCATCCCCAAGAGAGATAGCTTTAAGTACCTTGGGTCGATGATTCAGGGGGACGGAGAGATCGACGAGGACATCACTCACCGTATAGGGGCGGGCTGGATGAAATGGAGGCTTGCATCTGGAGTCTTGTGTGACAAGAAAGTGCCACTGATACTCAAAGGTAAGTTTTATAGAGTTGTGGTTAGACCGACCATGTTGTATGGGGCGGAGTGTTGGCTGGTTAAGAAATCCCATATCCAGAGGGTGAAGGTAGAAGAGATGAGGATGCTGAGGTGGATGTGCGAACACACTATGATAGACAAGATTAGGAATGAAGATATTCGGAAGAAGGTGGGCGTGACCCCTATGGATGACAAGATACGGGAAGCGAGACTTTGATGGTTCGGGCACGTGTGGAGGAGAAGCCTTGATGCTCCGGTGAGGAGGTGTGAGCGGTTGGCCATGGTGGGTACGAGAAGAGGTAGAGGGAGGCCTAAGAAGTATTGGGTAGAGGTGATCAGGCAGGACATGGTACGACTGCAGATTTCCGAGGACATGGCCCTTGATAGGAAGGTCTGGAGGTAAAATATTAGGGTTGTAGGTTAGGGGGTGGTAGAGCTTTCCTTACTTCATACCTGGGGTGAGGCGGGGTTGGATTAGGATTGATCTTAGATGGCTTGCAGTTTATGCCGAGTCCATACTATCCTTGCTGTTTATCTTAGCCCCGGGCCTTAGATACTGGTTACTGCTATTGCATGTCATTTATTTTTTAGTTGTTATGCTTCTGTTACTATTACGATTTCTAGTGAAATTACTAATGAATTGTCTTTTCTTGTTTTTTTTATTTCCGTCTTTCTAAGCCGAGGGTCTATCGGAAACAGCCTCCCTGCCCTATCGGGGTAGGGGTAAGGTCTGCGTACACATTACCCTCCTCAGACCCCACTTTGTAGGATTTTACTGGGTAGTTATTGTTGTACTAGTCACATATATAATGTATTCACGTCATTATTTTATTGGTCTAAATTATAAGGCAAGGATAGTAAAATTTTAAAATATTCTGATGGCTGAGAATTTAAGAAAGCATTTAATAGATTTAATATAATTTAGGGAAAAGAAATTTGAACGTTCGTGCTATATGAAAATATCTTCAAATTTGTCTGGATAATTTCTTTTTCATAAACTATAATATTGGTTTCTAGAAAACCAAAAAAAGAAAAAAAAAGAATTGGTGATTTTGTTGGAATGAAATATTAAGAAAATATTACTCAAATGTATATTGTATGCATTCAGTTGTCACTATTTTAAAATCAATCAAAAAATCTTTATCCTTGCCACAAAACTTATCTTCGGATTGCAAACAAATTAAAATCAGATTTAACAAGTAAGATAGGTTTAGAGAAATAATACTGACTTTTTTCGTGTTCTAAAACAGCCCTTAGCCGTTTCAATCTTTACAGAGAGAATGTCTCCGGAACAAGATTAACTGTTAGTAATTCTATTGGAATCAAATTATTAGGACAAATTAAGTCCTCAGACATGTAAATGCATGCTTGTCTATATTCTTTGCTTCAAAGTATAACTTGGGCAAAGAAAAGTAGAAAGTTTAGACAAAAAGAATTGGATTTATTGGAAGACAACCTGATAACAGCGTCCAGTAAAACTCTTGGCTGACTTTCTAATCTTTGAGTCAACAGCCACCCTAGCCTTTTGACTTCAATAGAATAACGTATATGTACTACGTACTTACTTCTTTTGGGGGTAAAAGTAAGTGTTTAATATCAAAATATTGACTCATTGTTTCATACTAATGACGTCCTAAACATGGATTTTGCTTCCTTAGGTTTGGCTTTTCTCATGTTTTGATTTGATACAATTATTAAAATGACTAGAAAGTAAAAAAGCATAGCCATGTAATTTTACTATTTATAGGAACTAGGAAGTACGTTTTGGTTACCCCGAAAAGAGGTGATAAATGCTACTAATTTTTATTACTCTGAACCTCCACGGAAAGAATTTAAAACTTTTACGTACTAATGGTGGGAGAAAAGTAAATTAGAGATAATTTTATAAAATTTACCTTTTTAAAAGCTGGAGATTGTTTGACTCAAAAGATATAAAAACCTCTTTGAACAAATCAATTTAAAGACGAAGGAGTAAATCTTACCTGAATATAATAAACACTAGAAAGAGTAAGTGATGAAGATAGGAATGTCAATAGATTTCCTTTTGTTTTGATAATGTTTCTGTTACAAGAGTTTTTCGGTCCCCTTTACAAATTTCTTTGTCCCCCTTATATACTAGAGAGAGACTCTTCTAAATTGTCAGAAGCAAACTACCAAGAATATTCGATGGAATATTCTCAATGTCCCCTAATGGGCTTACAATATTACAAGGGTCGTACGGCCTCTTCTTTTGTCCTAAGGTCGCCTCTTTCGGGACATCGACTCGAAGGTACCCGATCGTTTGTCGTACTCGTCATAGGTCGTAGTTGGTCAAATTTGGACCCAGACAGTTAGTCCCTCCGCTTGTCGGGGTTGCGAACGGACGCATCCTCGATGAGCGGATTTCATACACTCTCTTGGAGGAATTTGACCCGTGGAAACATTACGACATGGCCAACGGGGGATGGTCATTACTTTCAGCAAAACACCGGGTGGTACATTTCACAGGGAAATGATGTCAGCTCCACGTGCGTCATCATTATGTAGGTTTTCGAAACAAGGATTTGACGGCTTGATGCTTCGATTCTCGCGTAGCTCTGAGACCTGCCGCCTCGATTCTGGCGCCACCCAACCCTATAAATAGGCGAGGATTTGTTTTTCTGAAGAACTTTAGCCATTTCTCTCTTGAAAACTTCTTTTACTCTCGCTCATTTGCTCTCATATCCTTCTGTTCCTTCTTTCGTTCTTCACCTGAAGCTTCCACTTTCTTTTTCCTCGTTGATATTCCTTTGATCGATATCATGCCGAGGTCTCGTCGTTCTCATGAAGAGGTTCCTGAAGCTACCCCGTCGTACACGGTACCTCCTTCTGACAGCGGGGATATGGTGGTGGAAGAGGGTGACAACCCTCTTACGATGGGGGAGTTACTACCGAGACACCCTTTATCTCGGAGTGACTTCCTCGAGGATCCTGCTCCTATCCTGGACCCTATGTTTTCAGAGACTGAGCAGGTCCATCTCGACGTCCTTCATGTAAAGTATGGCATTCCTGCTATATAGAAATGGTTCCAGCGGGGAGAGATTACGTGGACGTCCACAGACCGGGGTACTGCGCTTTCTACGAGTACCCTTTTATGATTGGCTATACTCTTCCTCTCTTCCCTTTAGCAGAGGAATGTGGTAGATTCTACGATGTTTGCCCAGCACAACTTACGCCATATCGCTCAAGGTGCTTCTGCTACTGACCAAGTATGTAGAGTTGGTGGGGTGCAACGTTTCTATTCACCACCTTCTGCACCTGTTCACGCCTGGCTTTCTCAGGGGTACCATGGTGCACTTGAGGCTTCGTGGCACGAAAAGGCTGGTGGTCGGGACGGACGATCGGGCAAGTCGTAAGTTTTGGCATAAGTACTTCTTTGTCAAGACTGAGCACGTCGTTTCTGATTCCGCCGGATTCCCGGAGTTGTGGAATGAGACTCATAAGTGTCGTTACTCATTTTGTTCTCCTTTTTTCCGTATTTTCTGTGGATTTTATTCTCTTGCCGTTTTGCAGTGATGGGCCGTCTGCCTCGCCCTATTGCAGGTATTAGGGATTGGGTAGCCTGTCTGTTGCCCCATGCAGCAGAAACTCGAACTTGGTCCGCCTTTGTGAAGCGATACGGCCCTAAAGTTTCTTCCGGTAAATGTAGTACTTACTACTTTGTTAGTTGCGTGACCGTATTTAGTGGTACGACCCTTTGTGATGATAGGTCGAGGAGCTTCCAGGCGAAGGGCATCAGTCCCCGCCTTTTGACAAGCCGTTGCTACTGCAGACACACAGTTTGTTTTGAATGAGTCTGTTCGTGGGGATCGTCCTCAACCCATTCAACTAGGAGATCCGTCTCGAGTCGTGGTCACGAGGGAGGAGGCTTCCTCGGTGCCGGCCTCACATCCTTTGGATGAATCTTCTAACGGAGATGAGTCGTCGTCGAGGAAAAGAAGGAGGCTGGATCTTGGGAAGGGCGTGGCCACGGATGCTGATAGGAGCGGGGCGTCCCTGACAGCCCATGTGCCCGTATTTATGGCCGATGCTATTTTGTCGGGGAGGTCTCCTCGAGTGGAAGGAATTTTTCCAGGGGCTGGCTCAGTGCGCTCTATTGAGGGCGGTGCGTCGTCCAACGTCGGAGGGCATCATGTTGAGGGTGGCAGCTCTGGTTCGGATGTCGACCCAGAGGATTTTAATGAGTTCGTGGGTCTCCATACCCACGTGGAGGTTAGAATGGACGGTTCTGACCGTCATGTAGTTGTTCCTGGGGATTACAACTTGCTGCTGAACATCGAGCAAGTTGTGTCTGCCTTAGCTCCTTTGTGTGCTGCTCCTGAAAGCGAGATGCTTAGGGCTATGAGCGACATGGAGTTGTCTCAGAAGGTCGCCGGTATGTCATTGCAGGTAGATGCCTTGTCTTTTCATTTTGTTGTTGTGTTTGTGTGGTAATCGTTGTTCCGTATTTTTGTTTCTAACTTCTCCCCTTCTCTTTTGTTAGACCCTCGTCATGGAGTTTGAACGGGATCGTCGGGATAGGAGACGGACAGGTTTTTATGAGAAGATGTCATCCATATATCACCTGTATCGGGCTAAGCACCGGGCGATGACCGACATTTATCATTAAGACCCTGAGTTTCAGGTGTTCCGTGAGGGGCTTAAGCAGCGGGAGGATCAGTTGGA